GCTCTTCCGGCGGTTGTTATACTCGTGCACCGGCTACCAACCGACGGAAGAGTGATAAAAGAGAAAGAGAAAGAGAAAGAGAAGAGTGAGGCACTCTATTCTCGGACACTCTTGTACCGCTATACGTGTCCCCTTACGCGATCGACTGGTAACGAATCGTCATGCACGTATTGTTTAAAGCCTAGACTTGATGAAGTAAGATATACACGGAGAAAGAATGATTTTGTTAAAGTATTTAAAGATTTAATTAGATAAGAATCTGAAAATAATTTTATTGGATCATAAAAATAATTATGTAACAATCTTAAGTATAATAAACGATGATGTTAAAAGTTTCGATATTCTAACAACCAGTTTAATTATTTTAAATTATTTAAATGGTTTAATAAAATTATTTTTAGATCTATATTGTTTTTTTCTAAATACGTACTTCAGTAAAACTCATCTTTTTGTGTAGAATTACGCAAACAACAATGTAAATGGACGATAGAATAAAAAATAAAAAAATAACGAAGAATAAGAAATAAATCATTATTTACGGTTAACCGTGAATAATGTATCATTTCTTAAAATTTCCTTCTGTTATATTTGTAACTTTCGTTGTGATTTCTAAGCCAGCCTTCGAAGCCAGTTATTCATTTACCACACGATAAACAGATGCGTTTTAATATATTATGCGTATTAGTATAATCGTTACATCAAGTTTATATATTTGGCATACTAATCAGAAAGAAAGAATCAAATGGAAGACGGTAGACGTTTGTCTGAATGTACAGAGTGATTAAATCGACAAAAACACAGTTATAATATCGGAACGCCATAGCTATACCGCTCATAGCATTTATGCTAGATTGCGTCGTTTACATTTTATAATTATGAGTTACAATTGCAAATTATAAATCGCTAATGTCGCGTCTCACATGACATTTCATTATTCTATACATTCAAGTATAATGGCTGCATCCTGGCTAGAATAAACAAACTTGAAAACCGTTGATGCTTCCAACTCGGGAAAATGTTCGAAAGAGAAAAATTATAAAATCCCTTTAGATTCTTTTCCCTCTAATAATAATTACGTTTTCTGTATAATATCAATGTGAAAGAGAAGAGAATCTGAAGAGTCTTTTATTACCGCACTTTTTTTCTTCCCTCAAGATAAAACTTTTCACTTCGTGTCAAATAGATATATCGCTTAACACTGACATTGCATTTCCTTTTCATTTTTTGGGAAGGGAAATTTGTTATAGTCTAATAATTCAGTAATTTTTCTTTCGAACATGTAAAGTATTCGGGCCGCCGACTTTCCTTGAGAATATCTAAGATTTTATATCCAGCTTTCGACTCGTTCGAAACAATGAACTCATCAAAAAGCCCTTTTATTAACGGGAGAGAAAGAACGCGCTCCACTTAAGCTACCAATCAAGGTAATTTGCATTCCACCGGTTGTTTGTTACAATCCTGAAACTAGAGTATCGCGTTGGACGATTGGCGGTTAACCCTGAAAATTATACGGGAGAACGGAATGTGGCCGGCAACGGAGAAGTTCGCGTGTATAGTGCATATAATGCACCGTAAGTGAAATAACGCGTCTCGTATTCGAACAACCGTGATGCTTGGCATCAAAATTCGTTCGTTCTTTAAAAAGTTTCAGTAAAACAGTCTGAATTTTATCAGTCGGATCGTTTTGCTGAAATATAACGTTTCAATAAAATGGAAATTTCCTGTCAAAACATTTATAAACATGTATATTCTCGTATCTCTGTTATACATATTTCAAATAGAATCAAGACATTCTCTGACGTTTCTGCGTGACTTAATGGCATGCTCCCTTAATTAACTTTGACTGGCTTATTTGATAAATACACATATGTATACTTCTGTATTCGTATGTATATATTCGCACACTTTTGTGATGCGGTCCGCTCATAAATATTATACACTCACTTTCTTCTTCAGTAATATATTACAGTAGCTGCAGCAACAATCTTCGCAATAGTCAATGTACAGTTTTATTTTATCAGACGTCGTGAAGTATCTAGAAAGAGCGTGACAGAAAAATAAAGAAAAGAGAGAATTATATATGCTCGCGTTGCAACCTTGGCGTAAAAACGACATGATAACAATAGTCAGTGACTAATACGTGTGCATCCATTTACACAACCGAGCGATAATAATTAGTGGCGTAGAATTCTCTTTTTTTTTTGTTCTGTGCGTTTGTACCTAAATGTTTCTTTTTTTTTTCATTCGAATAACTGAATGGAGAGAAAATTCAATCTGGTGGCATTTAATCTTTTAATATGCATATTGGTGATATGACTTGCAGTTTTCTTTCATCAGCGAGATCTTAGAAAAGGATCACTTCGGAGAAAAAGGCATTACCTGTCGTTTCCTGATTTGCATAATACTTCCGTCACGAACAAGTTATGCGGTGACGTGTTCAGTAACGATGTCTACGTGTCGCCGTAACTTTCTGCTCGAAGTTATACATCGATTAAGCAGAGATGTCACCTTCTATAAACATGTTGTTGCTTATAATTCCGAGTTTACATATTGAATAGCTTTGCATATTATTTTTCTATTCGAATATTAATTTAGCAAAAAGCATTATGTAAAGCTTCTAATGAAAGTGCAGAGTTGACACACGCACACACAAACGCACACGCATACATATATATACATATATAAGATTATGTTTATTTTTGTACTATTCCACGTATAAATGTTATTGAAGCAACTTCCAGTATATAATATTTTAAATGAAATTTTTTTATACTCACATAAATAAATTATTCTCTTTCTGTTCGTAGAGGGATTTTTCTACGTAATACCTATCATTATATTGTTCGGAGAGATTTGTGGCGAAAGGCGAAGCTTTTTTTTATAACTCATAATTGACGCGCTCGATGACGTGCCAATCGAGAGAGAAACCTCTGAGCGGCATTTGAATGCTACGTTCCAGTTGCGTAATAACGAATAATTATTCTTACGCAGTTCTCAATCACTAATTACTGAATACTGATATGTACATGAATCATTCAGGATCTTCACAATTAATAAATGATAGCTCGCCATATATTTGTATTTGTCTCGAGTGACGTATAAAACTGAAAGAATTGAAGTTACTATTGATAAAATTGAGACTTTCGAGGATTCGCAGGCGACACGTCGAGATCGTTTACGTAACTGCATCACGATGAAGTAAGTGAGAGTGTTAATTATAGCGACTGAGCGATTAAGATCTCCACCGTGATCATCAGCACTGACGTCTACGCAAAATCATCTCGGAGCTTAAATATTTTTAATCGATGAGGACATTTGTATCATTATAATTTACAGAGAATTGACGTCTTTTATAATACGATGTGTGTCATCCTCTTGTCTTTAAAAATTTCTCATAAAATAATTGCTTTCAACCAGAAATGTCGCGGATAATCTTATCTTCAATAATAAAAATCTATTTTTTAAGTAATGCGATAATAAACGTACGATATTTTATTTGATTATACATATATTTATGTACAATTTAATTTCGAACGAGAACATTTCCTTTTGTGTTTAAGCTTTTGCTTGCGACATCAGTACTAATGTGCTGCGATAAAACTTCAACAAGCGCGTGGCCGCAAAGTGTCATAACCAAGGACGCTTTTCTCGGTCGACGTAATATACGCGTCTCGCGTATTCTTCGCAATTGCAACTATCTGATCAGACTTTTTTATCTGCTTTTTATGTAACGCCATTATATTGCTTTTTTCCATGAGTTATATAAATTGCACAGATGTTATATGTGTAACTAATCAATTTCGAATTATATCTCGTTAAAGTGCTGTTTAAAAGATATAATACTTTATTTAATTATATAAAAGAAAAATACTAAAAGTTCATTGAAATTTTGATATTTTCAAGATGTGTTGTATATATTCAAATATCCGAAAAAACTTTGAATGTCGACGACATTAAAATCTTAAACCTTTATTTTCACAGAGAAAATATGTATAGCAATTTCATTTTTCTCCATGCTTTACGTCTTCTAATGAGTTTCAGACAGTAAAACTGTCTCTTTTCTAAGAACCGGCAATAATTATTACCCAATTATTTTGTTCTGCGACAGAAAGGTCGTTGCGTTTCTTGGAGGACGTTATGTCATTGTGTAATGTATGATGTTTTTTGTTGATTTTTTGTTTTTATATAGAATATATTAATCTAATTGAATTAGGAATTTTGATAGACAATTAATAAAAAAAAACAAAAATATACTTTTGTCATCAAATTAAGTATAAATTATAATGTTATTGAATTAATTAAGAAAAGTAATTTAAAATACATCTGCTGGTATGTAATACCGTTAAGTAAAACTTGCTACGGAGAGTCGGAATTGCAATGTTTTGCAATGCAGTCTTTTTCCACGTGACATGACAACGGAACGTGAAATCGCTCGTAACTGTAGCGCCGATGTTACGCTTGGGGAAGCAAGCTGCAAGAAGATGTTTGTTAACCCAGACAAAGTCGCTTGCATCAACGCGATCGACCGGAAAAAGCAAAATTCATTTTGAACAATTGTCTAGCCGTAACATCATTGATAAAAGAAGAGAAGATTGCACGAAGTTTTATCGATCGGACGATAGTTATTAATTATTCATTATATAATGTTTTCATTATTGGCAGCTGGATTGACGTTCAAAGACACCATATTTATCTGTTATCATAAATGTGTTTGTTTTAATATAGTGAAAAATAGCATATCATTAGTAATTGAATTTATGATCATGATGTCTGATAAAGAAGGTGAATCAATTTGATATCAATTTAACTGTAAAAATGCTTCGCACTCTTTAAAGTATTTTCTTCTATAAAAACTATCCAGAAATCGCTCTGAACCACCTAAAAAGCTTCAGACAGCATGACACTGCAAGAGACTAGTCTCAAAGAAGCGATTCTAACGGGGTCTTGGCCTAGGCAACGGTTGAATCTGTTGCTGTTGGTGATGATGATATCCTCCTCTCGAATTTGGAGGCTGCGTCCGTTCTGATCCATCGTTGAGATTCAATCCAGCAACCAACTGGGCGATCTCACGATCCTTCTTCTCCTCCTTTGGTAGCGCATTGCCGTTCTGCGCGCTGAAGCCCAAAGAGGCTAGACTGCCATGGCTTCTGCTACGATGTTCCGCCCGAATGCTGTAAGAAAAGGCTCTCTCGTTCAGATGACCCTTCCGTCGATATATGCCGGTACCAAAACGGGACTCGTTTTCCGGACTATCCGCCTGCCGAGTGATTTCCGGCGCGGTGAGATCTGCATGAGAGGCAGCTAACCTTCTAGATGTGCCCAAGGTGGAGTTATCCGCCTCCGGGTGTCGTCTGCCTCTGTTTCCTGCGGTACCGTACGTGACCGGTGGATAAATTGGTGCTGCGGTCGGCGGTACCACCGGCAAAGGAGCGTAGACTGGGACTATTGGTGCTGCTGCCGGAATGGGTCTTAAACGTGGATGATGACTCTTTCGTGGCAAGGTGGCTGCTGGTACCAAATACATCGGCGCTGGTCTAGCCAAAGTACCGGCGACGGATCGACTGCTGGGTGGTAGTGGATGATGATGGTAATGTTGCTGCCTGATAGGATGACCCAGAGTGTGATGTCCGTGGCCGTTGGCATACACGCCTTGATGTAGCTGATGATGGAGGAGCTGCTGTTGTTGTTGTTGCTGTTGCAATGCGTCCTCGTGCAATGAACGAGTCTTCATTTTTTTCAGCTTCTTATTAGTTTTTCTTCGCGCGGAAGAGGTTTCCTCCAGCAACAACGGTTGAGCGGGTGGAGGCGGGGGTGGTGGTGGCGGCGGTGGGGCAACCAACTGGCGTGGTCTGGATCCCTTCGTGCTTCGCAGGGTGCCCTGTTCCTGATAAAGACCATCGACTTCGTCGCGACCCCTGGCCCAAACTTTATGATTTTCGTCGCCATTATACAGACTGAAGTCGTCGGTCGAAGCTGTATCTAAGCGGGTCGTTTGAGGACTATCCAGAGTGGTGCTCGAGCCGCCTAGAGTGTGATAGAGACTGTTGTTCGATTGATGACCAGTCGCGACCCCGTTCGTTGTCGCCGATGATGGTTCCAGGCCTTTCGCGTAGCTGCTATCGGCATAAGCGTGAAAGCAACACCTTACCAGGGCATTGGCCGCCATATCCCGTTTGCAGATGAACGCATGACACTCGAGAACTTTAATGCCGGTCGTTCTTCGCAGGACGGCGGCGAACAGGGGTGGATGATTCGCGCTGGGCGTCCGCGCGAACGGCGAATCCAACGGCAGAAAACGTGTATTGGATGTATCTGCGTTTCCACCTTTGACATGTCTAACCGCCGCACAATAGTGAAGCGCTTCGATAGGGAAGAATCGCGTAATTTTTTTGCGATGTTCGTCAACATTCTCCAAGAGTAAGCCATTGCTCCAAACACTTAGCCAAGAGTCAATTCCACGCGCACCCAATGCACCCTGCTCGGGATAAAGTTCTCTCAGAGGCTCCTGAACGCCCAGGAGTCCCTCTTTGCTCGCGTGAGGTACTGAACTACCCAAATAGAGTACTCTACAGCGACAATACGGTGTCGCCGTATCCTGATTAGCTCCCCTCATTTTTTTTTATTCGGCTCAATTAACTTATCGATCAAAAAGATTCAATCGAATTGAATTTCGTGATACAATTTGGAAACTTCGAACGCAATTAATATTCATTAATAATCAGAAAGACTATCTTTGACAATCCAGTTGTCGTAAAAAATCAAGAACTTTGGTTTAATCCAATTAATATCTTATTAGATAATTGCTTTTAATTTTCGAATAGAAACAAAATATTATCATATGCGAGTTAGTCGCATGTTTTATAAGATGATATTAAAAATGATCTAGAATTATTCTAAACGAAGAAACCATTCGGAGATTTCGACGCGTGGTACCGTAGATTTTATGACAAGCGTCGATCTTCCCGATCGGCGACAGCGATATGATTTTTTTTCTTAGTTATAATATGATTCTCAACAATTATTATCTGGAGAATTTCCCACGCGTAACATAGACTCGCGGATGTGACTCAGGAGCTCATTGAACGATTATGTTGCGTCGAGACTCCGCCTGGTAGCACTCGCAGTCGATTACGCCAGTCGCTGCTTTCCAAAGACAGGCGGATAAGCGGTGTGTACACGATGCAGCGCACATACGTCGTCGCAGCGTTGCAAAATACGTACGCGCAGTAACAGCGAGAGGAACTCGGCAGCGTGGATATTTCGCAGCAGCTGTAGCCGCTCGCTCCAGAGATCGCTTCAGGCCATTATGGCCGCCTTCTTACAAATCCCCTTCTGCCAGTATCGGGCCCCGTTTGATTCCCTCTGTCCCTCCCTCCCTCTCTCTCTCTCTCTTTTTTCCTTCACTATCTCCGTTGCTTTCTTTCCCTTTATACCTCTTCTCTCTATCACATACAGCCCCTTCCCGTGCTCGGTCTCTGTCGCTTCCTTTCAGTTCTCTAGGCTTCTCCAATCCCTTCTCCGCTACCAGACCCGGGACCCTCGCTGGTATGCGACGCAGTGGCGTAGCCAGTCGTTGTCCTTTACTAGCACCTCCACGTGTAGCTGCTGTCACATGTACATATACGCATACTCAGTACACGATACATTCGCGGTCAGGGATCACCATAGATATCCTTGGAGAACGACGAATAGAGAAAACAGGCCGATGCGACGGTGAGAATTTAACACCTATTTCTGCGAGCTGTGTGCTGATGTATGTGGAATCCAGAGGCGCGGCCGCAGGCGTCGGCCGCGCGAATCGCTGTACCAGCACCGGTGGGCCTCATTGGGCCTCACGCGCGGAGATAGCGAAAATGGCGGATGCTGCTTTCGTTCGACCGTCAACTCGATACTACGAATCTTTTCTGAGCAATGACGGCGAATGCAGGCTCGAAAAAGCGTGACAAAGTCCATATGGGTCTCAAGATCGACACTGACACGATCGACGTTGCGGGGAAGCCGCTCTTGTGCCGTTCTACGCTCGCACACACACACACACCAACCACGCCACACGCACACACGCGCACGGATGGTCTCGGAGCGGAGCGGCAAACCACTACCTACCAGTACGTTCGTCTTCGAACTGAGAACTGGTGGAAGGCGTGAGACTTCGTGACTGAGTCCCACTCCGCTTCACTACCAGACACTCTCCCACTCTCCTCCTTTACGATTTTCATCGTCGCCCCTCAGGTCGCTCCCTGGACTCCTGAGATCCTGTCGCCATACCTATCTCCTTGACGCGCCGTCGCGTCGACCGTCGTTCATAGAACGGCGGGAATTATGCCGAGAGAAATGGACATTCCTCAGTTCGATTTTATGTGGAAACATTTAATGGCGCTTCCCTTTTCCTGCAAATGACGTAACGCGCTATTTTGCTATTAATACTAGTTAGCACCTTGAGTCGAGATGTGACATCTTAACATCTCTTAACACACAAGAATCTTTTACGCACCAGCATGTGCCAGGATGTCGCGAGAGAACTGATTCTTCAACATCGTCAATGTTAAAAGACGTAAATTTACAGTTGCGAATGCTGAAGCGAAAATCAGATTGTAATACAAATTGTAATAAATTTTATATATTTCAAATATTGTATTTTCAATTAAAAGTGATATAGTTCCAATATAGTTTCATGTATCACATACATACTTCATATTTGTTGTTTTATTACAGAAATCCACAGAGTCGTACACCTGATGGCTTTGCATGTTGCCCTTTATAGGTCAAAGATTGCGTAGGTACTGTGAAAGAACTCCTGGTGCACACTCCTTTTCACACACAACTGCCGGAGCATGGGAAGTAAACGATTGTCTCTTGACAAGAAGTAAGATTCGTGGTCTCGAGGTCGTTCTTCATATCGTCGAAGCAGAACGTAGCCACGAAGGTGAAATCAACAAATTTATTGCGTAACAACGTGAACTGAGACATCTCTAGTAGAACCAGACATAACAGGTGCAAAAGATTTTCTAAACTTTGTTTTACCTTTTACTGCTTGCGTCTTATATTCAAGTTTAATTTATGTAGATTTCTTTTTGACACGAATAAAAAACTCGTATCTCTATATCTCTATATATTATATCTACAGAATATTTTACTGTTTTATTAATAAACACACGTAGAGATTGGAGAAGTTTTTAAAGTAAGTAAATAAAATTGGATATTTTTACAAGTAATTATTACGTAACGATATCTTACGTAAGAATAAAATTTCTCTTCGTACCTATTATTCTTCTCGTTTTTATTGACATAAGTTTTGTTTCTGTATTATATGAACGATATATTTTCCGCATATTTTACTTGGGGTCACCTCATAGAAATGAAATGTTATCAATGCATTTTCTACACAATTAACCGCGAGCACCGACAGAAAAATGAGAAAATCCGGTAGCGGGTTCGTGTCGCGAGCGTGAAATCGCGGGGACGCGAAATCAGGGTCGCGTGACCGGGACCCTGACCGTGGCTCAATGTCGACATTTTTCAGTGGGAATTCTGCTCGAATCCTTTCGCACAGCTGACACATTTAGAAACAAGACGAATACGGCAGAGTCATTTCCGTTCGACATGAAATGTACGAATTAACCTGAGTACTGTTGCGTGTAACTGTATCACAATTTTATAACGATAAAGATACTTGAGATCCAATTAAGATTTCCTGCTCCGCGTTCCTTAAGATTTGCTATTGAGAAATCAGAAGATGTCACTCCTTGAAAATGTAAGTTCTTAACTAATTTTTGATATTTAATGTTGTATCTTACAATATATGACAAATTAAACGTGTTAAAATCATTTTTTTTTTACCTTTTCGAAAGATTTAGAGAACAAATGTATGTTTTACAATCTATGGAAGTCTTTTTTATTTTCACGATTTTCTTAGATGTGAGAACGCATACTTTTTATGGTGCCATATCTCAAATGAAGATGTGTTTTATTAGAAAAAGACTAAAGAAGGTTGGCGAATATTTATCAAGTTTCTTGGAAAATAGGTAAATATTCGAGATAGTTCGAAGTGGGGCTGACTAGTATGCAAATAATTGTTTTTTTTATTGCAAAACCTCTTAAATATTTATTTCGGGATTTGGAAATGTTGACCTTTGATTTGTCTTATATCTCGAAAGATATCTAATATATTTACATAATTCAGAATCCGCATGAATCATAGAATCACAATGTTTTCCTTTTATAATTATAATAAAAGTTATTATTATCAAATTCGCAAACTTTCCAATCCTATAAACGCTCAAGTCTCATAAAGTCCAGATACATTAAAAAAGCGTTTGTCTCAAACTGTTGAGCGAAAAAATCGATCGTCCAGTGGGTCAGTGGGTCGTCACGTTAATTACAAAGACTCCAAAAGCCGTGTGTACAGTGCAATCACCTCTTGTCCAAGAATCCTCTCCAATCCCCTCTTCGATGACGTTTGCTCGTGACTGGTTCACTTATCGATGATATTATCTTTTTTCTTTGCAACTATATTACTTTGTACGCAACATATAATATAATACAAATAAATTGTTTTAATATTAAAATAAAATAATTCTAACAAACTATTATCTTCTAATAATATATATTTCACGAGCAGTTATAAAAATTCCTACTTAATTTCCATAAAATTTAATAAGAAATAAGAATTAAAAAATAAGAAAAAGAAAATAAGAAATAAGAAACAAAATGTCTAATAGCATGTATTACAAAAATTGATGTAATATAATTTTTAGTAAAAAAAAACAACAATTTTTGTATCTAAACAAAATTTTTCGGATTTTTCAAACATTTTATTTTGTCAATTTTATGATTGTTTTTAATAATTAGATAAATTAGAATAATTAGGTAATTTAAATATACGTAATAAGAGAATATATTTACAAAAACTTCTAGTTTTTCAATTAAAGTTATCTAAGAAACATTAGTCTATTATATGTGAATATAATACACATAGTTATAATATAATATAAGTTTCAATATAGATGAATTTGTTAAGATAGATAAACTTCGGGTAGCAGGTATATCCTGAAAACTTTAAAATTAAGATAATTCGGTGTGGTCCGATAGCGAGAAAGCATATCTGTGTCGATGATTGTATAAATGGCTTTCTAACAGATGACCAAGCGGACAATTCGAAAGTTTTATGCAAATAGAGGCGATAGTCTTGTGACGCGCATTTGTAAAAATCCGTGAAATGCAAAGGTTTGTCGACCCGGCATGAATATCCGCCGCAGTCGTCGCTGCCCATTTTTGTCGAGGCGCAGTACTTTCTTTCACATGCGACGGGTAATTGTTTTCCGCGTGCCTGAAACTGCCACGATGCGTAAATGACGACGTTGGCGCGCGATTAGACGTTAGACCACGAGAAAGTTTGGTGAAACGTTAAGAAAAAAACAATTGAGCGTTATGAACTATGAGTCGTTTTAAAGACAGTAATTAACAAACATGATTTGTTACAGAAACCTTTTAAACTTTTTGAACATCTTAAATTTTAATTTATATTTACTTGAGTCCTGAATTGCTTCCCGAAGTATTGCGAGCGATTTTCCGGACATCCTGTATATTTAATTTTGAGATATGTAATTGTTAAATCGGTAGTAAAGAAAAAAGTCAAAAGAGTTATAATTTACTTTTTATTTTAATTACTGTGGAACATTGATTTTGTCTTTGGCTTGCGAAGCAATTCAATCATTTCCAAAGTTTTTGACTGAAAACGCTGTCCTCAGAATTTGCCTATTACGTCACATTTCATTTTAAAATGCTATCTTTTACCTTTAAAATGAGA